AAAAATTAATTTTTTAGTTTTTTTCCTTTGATGGAAAATCTTTAACTTCATTACTGGTGCCAAAACAAGAGATAAAATTTTTTCTAGTTGTGCATGATCTCTACTGGTGTTTGCTGTTTTCTCGAACAAAAAAAATCGTCTAAATATATGGAGTAGTCTGACACATTGGAAAATATACCTTTTTCTAGGTCTTAGAAAATACAGATCTGTAGTACAGGTTTTGCATGGGTCATGAAAATCCTGGAAAGTCATGAAATTTTATAAACAGATTCTTTTAGAACTGGAAAACAATTATTTTTATTAAGTAAAAGTCCTTAAGAGTCTAACCCCATTGCTCCCTCATCCCCTGTGTTTATTGACCTCAAGCCGTACCATTGTGTTTAGAGCAGTTTTGTAGAAAACATTCTATGGGAAATGTGATTCATAAAATAGGAATCATACTACTGCCTTATCAATACCAATCAGTTTCAGGTGATGATGCCAGGTAAACTTAGTGAAACATTGTGAAAAAAATTAAAAGTTTTTACTCCATACAAGAGATAAAATATTGTGTGAAATCACTACTTTGTTTGGCTGTTACTCAAATTTTGTATCTTTCTTACTGAGCTACCAAAGTTTTAATACATTATGAATATGTCACTCATAAAACATTATGACCACTTTTGAAAATGGCATAATACTCCTCTTGTTGTGTGATAGCTATCTTAGATGTCAAGGTTTAATTTTTCAGAGCTGTACAAAAGTGTATGTTTCTGAAAGATGTATATACATTTTGCCAGGCAACAATTAAATTTTAGGATATACTGATTTTCTGTTTGTTTTGAAGGGTGAATCATTTATGTGAAACTAATCACACCAAAAGAAAGAGGTTTTTGATTAGCCGGCCATCTATTAGAAAATAATCCAAACTCTTACCAAACATGCTTCTAACTTTCAGATGAGAATACCTTGTTTGTTTTGAAGGGTGTGTCAGTTACGTGAAACTATTCACACCAAAAGAAAGAGGTTTTTGATTAGCTGGCCATCTATTTAGAAAATAATCCAAACTCTTACCAAACATGATTCTAACTTTCAGATGAGAATATGTCATAAGCATGACAGTTAATCTTGCTATTGGTTAAAAGTAACTACATCAGGCAGCCTGTATAGCTGACTGGTTGCCTTCATTCTATTATGTAATTCAAATTTGAAAACAACTATGCTAGACCCATGTGTATAAGGAGTCATTTAAGTGATCTCACAAACAAACAACTTTACATGTCTTCTGTTAGTGAAGAATAAATTAAAATTTCCAAAGCCTTTTGAAAATGTAATTTTTTTTTAATTAAAAGTTATTTATAAAATTTTGTTTGTTTTTTAGTGGTACTAGCTATCATTTTTGTGGCTCTCATTTTGATGGCTATCCTGATTGGCCGCTTCATGTCTCGTCATAAAGGAGAGTACAAGACTCATGAAGACAAAGGTGCTAAAGATGCTCCAGATGCTGACACAGCTGTAATCCAGAGTAAAACTGGACCTGATGTATCTAGGAAGAAAGAATGGTTCATTTAAGTGTACATAACAGACTGTTCAATCATGCTCAGTATTTTTAGTTTCAAGAAAAAGTGAACAGATTATTTCATATTAAAAACAAGATTTGACATTCCATTTTTTGTTGTTTTTTTTAATCATTTATAATATAAATGTATTCTTTTTTTTTGTTGTTGTCTTCCACAGAAAGGGCAAGAACCCAAGAGTTAACATAAAACTGTAAAACACATTATGTTAGATTGTGACACAACTCCAGAAATTCCTTCCAAGTCAAATATTTAAGAAACTTTAGAATTGTTGTAGTGAATGATGTTTTAGGAGATTAGCCTGATATACATGGCAGTTCTTAATCATTAGTATTGATCTATTTGTTGGTCTAATTGTTGAAAAACAATTTTTAGACTAATTGAGACAGTGAATTTGGCCATCTCTTAAGACATTTAAAAGTTCATTCTTTAATGTATTTTCTCTTACAGTAGATAATACCACAGCATTATTCAGGTTATATTCATATGTAAAGAAAGTAAGTTGGATTGAGACTAATTTGATGAATCTTATTTTACTGTCATCAGTATTAAGTTTGTGTGCGGTTACTTTTTGCACTCAGAAAGATTGTTTTGCACTAACTCCTGTAATTTTCTCGTATTATTACTTTGTATTCTAATTTTCTGTTAAGATTATTAACCAAATCATAAAATTATACATAACATGTAAATGGAGAATAGTTGATATCTTTGTAATGTTTTTTTACTAATATGCTTTTACTTATATGCATTTAAAAATTTTATGCATTTTCATTTATATTGTGTAGAATCTCAGAACACAAAAACCTTTAGAAGGAGTTAGTTCATTAAAGTGTTTTATGTTTGTAAGATCTTTTGAAGAATTCTGCTACTCTAACCAGAATTAATTCAGTTACTATTTTCAGTTCACTGTGCATTCAGTCGAATAAGAATATTATCTCGAAGTAGTTAAATTTCTGTTGATATTACTGTTTGTCCATTTTTTATATATATAATTGTTACTTGTTAGTTTCATTTGAGTAATTGTAGGGTAAGAATAGGTTAATGTGATCATAGGGAAGTGATGGAAATCTATTTTTGTCATTAGGTGGTATGATTAACTAGTTTTGAATTTCTTTTGATCTTAGATTACAGTATGACTTACTCTATTTTGCTGTTTTTTGAAAGAATAACATAGGAAAATTAAGAAAAGTAATAGGAATCTTTACATAAGAAGCCTCATTTGAAATAACTTGAAATTGAATTTATAAGATGTATTGATGTTTCAAATATCTTTCAAAAATAATATATGTATTATTGTACATTTTGTTATTTCTCAGCTTGATATTCTTTTTACAGCGTGAATTTTAGTTTTTGGTGAGTAAGTTATGTGTTAAAAAAAACAGAATTTAGAAATTACAATCTGTATGAAGTAATTCCATTGGTGTTCTTATTACCTTATGTCTGTCATAAGAAGGCCACATTGTTTGAAGGTTGTGAAGATGTACTTATGATTAGGTTTTTCTTGAAACCTACAAGAGTAAAATAAGAGCCTAGTGTAACTATTTGTAACTCCTTTACAGAACTAAGACAAAACAACCTGCATTCCAGTACATTACAAAGAAATTCTAAACTACAGATGTATCAACTATGAAGTTTGTCTTAAACTGTAGCTTAATTAAATAGACAACTATAAAGATAACTCTACCTTTGAAAGTGTGTTTTATCCTAAAGAATTTTCTGTTTTACATTAGGCTGTATATGCAACTACTTACCTGTCAAAATTATTATAATTTGGAATGTGCTTCACCATTTTACATGGCTTGTTGCTGTTACTATCTTTCCCTGTAGATAATGATTTTGAGCTTATATAAAATATAAGTGTACTTCAAAACAATACTGTTAGAATTTAGGGTTCAGCAGAAATGCAAAATTGCTCCAGCTTTATGTTATTTGATCATGATTTCCATTTTTCAACCATGTATCATGACATGAATCTAACGGTGTTCTATAATAAGACTTCTGGCATAAAACTTAAGTTGTCAAATATAAATGTTAAGGATATGGTTACATTTATAAATTGCAACCAGTTAGTAGCATATCACACATGTAACATGTTTTAAAAATTTGTTACATTGAACTGTTAATAATCAGAGTTATTATAACAAATTATCAAAGTTACTGATTTTCTTTAAAAATTACAACAATACTACTAAATTTATTTAAAAGAAATAAAACGATTTTTAAAACAACTGTTCACCAGCTACGTTTACAATTGAAGAGGCTTGTTAAAGATATATAAGCAAAATAGTCCAACTAGTGGGTATGACATATAAACATAGAACATAGATAATAAAAAAAAGTTTCTAATTTACTTCTTTCTTATGTGTTTAATATTTATTTTAATAAATTTTTAAAACATGCAAGAAAACAGCAATTGGTTTTTTGTCTGTTTTGATATTTATTTTTCATTTTCTTATGTTTATTTGAGGTATGTTAATTTAGTTTTATGGCTGCTAACTTTTGCTTTATGCAAAAATATCTTCAGGATTTCATTTTTAATTCCACTTCATATTTAGTAGTATCCCCCCCCCCCCTTTTTTTTCTTGTTCAGTCAAATATGAAAGATGTTGAGCAGCTATAAATATTTTGTTGTATTAGATAAAAAAAATCTTTGTCATTAATCTTGTGTAATCATCCCAGTTACAATGATCAGATATGGCATTTACAGTGTGAAGTGAAATGTAGTATAAGCTTTGTTTTTAAAAGGTAAACTCGTATATAATATATATTTTTTATCAAGAAATCATGAGAAAAACAAAAGTATCAAAAGGGGCTCCATTTCCACAAGACTACTTCAGTAGATCTCATTTGTATAATTATATGTAGTATTAAAAATTCTCTCTCTCTCTGTATTATTATTGTTACTATGTAGAATAATCACAAATTAAACAATGTTCTCTATTTCCTCATGATTTAAGAAACATTTTTATTGGAAATTAAAATGCTAAAATGTACCGAATCCAGTTGAGACCGGGTGAATTTCTGTGATTTGTGTTTGTGAAATAGTTTTAACAGTTATGTTTATTTATAGTATAAGCTGGTAATAAGCGTGTTTTTTACAAAACACTTAGCTCTCAAGTAAGTTTTATCATGGATTTTATATTGCGAAAAGTTTGCATTAATTTTGTTGTATTAAATTAACAAGTGAATGCCAGAAAACGTAATAGTCTGTGTTTATAAATTAATATTTTTTTCAGCTATTTACGAACGAGTTATGTTAATATTTTAAGTTTGATTTGACTGTGTTATAATGATCAAGCTACTGGTAATTTTCTTCTGTGATTTGTAAGAATTCAATGAGACTGGGAAAGTTGTAGTGTTTATTTGAAACATTCCATTTTTATACACATTTTTTTTAACTGCTTAAGCAGTAGGTGAATTAAATTTATCAAACAATTTTCTTTATTTTAAGTTTATTTTTTTTTAGCCTATTTATACCTGTGTGTAGAAGGAAATAATTTAAGGTGCAGTTTTTGATATCATTTGGTTTAAAGCCTTCCTTTGACTCACAAAAGATAATGTTTTCCAACATTATAGAACATGTCTTTGTTGATAGTTGATGTATTAAACAACACACACAAGTTATTCAGTTGAGTTTTGTTTTTCTACCTTCTACCAAGGTACTTGATATTTTAAACCACAATTCTATAAAAATTATGCAATTGAGTGGTCTTTATCTATTTGACCAATAAAATCACTAGTGAGTTTTTTGGGGGGGAGCTGGGTAATAGAAAAATATAATGTTTTAAATAAATTACTTGCTGCAGGATGTTTCTTCTAAAATCTGATGGTTAAATTCCTGCACAGATTGTAGAAATCTTGATGACGGTCTGGAACCCATACAGCTTATACTTGTTATTTTGGTTTGATGTGATATTATAGCAAGGTTAGGTAAGTGTTCAGAATGAGGAACCAAATTTGATAATATTTGTATTATTTCTAATTTTTTGTTGTTAAAAATGAAAGTTAGAAATGTAAGATTGTAGCTGACAACGAGACTGATTTTTGTGTGCTCTGGTTGTACCAATAGACTCATCATTTTCTGGTGTTTTCTTTAGATAACCCGTATAGGCATTTTTATTCAATTCAGTTAGAAAATTTTAATTTTGAAATAACTCTTTTTTACTAGCGAATGTGTTTTTTGACTTAATATGGACAAACCCTCAATTAGCATCTTTTTTTTTTTTTTGGAAAGGATAGTTGATGATAAGATGGAGAAAAGTCATAAATAAAAAGTAGTCGATTGGATATATGTAGAAGTCACCTGTTTAATATCTGCTTACAATTCATTACATGATCCATCATGAAGGAACACTAGAATATGATTTGTTACATACAAATATACAGAAGTAGGTAAAGGTAATGGGTCATTTGGGAAATTTAACACTTTACATAATTAATATTAACTTCCGATCAAAACAAGCTATGTACTTAGAGTGAAACTAAAAATCAACTTGGTAATTAGTATAACTAATTATATAAACCAGTCTTATGTTTCTACATGTAAAGAATAAAATGTATTGGTTCATCAGTTGAATACCATCCCTGTTAGTGATATTTTTGGCCATAATCCCAATAATACCTCCAGAGGTTTGGCAACCATAGGTTAGTACTAATTACGTATATTAAGTTCATAACTCAAAGTGATCTGTATATTAAAAAATATAATAATAATGATAAACAAAAATTAGATTAGAAAATAATGACTTTCGATATACTAAATAGCATAACCGTACCTCATAGTACTTTCGAGTATACAATACATAGAAACATTAGCTGTTTGTAGAAGTAAATATCTTTGAAAAGCATAATCTATTATAACATACTCGTTTTTTTTTTCTCTCTCACTCTCTGGAACGTCTTTTGACAAACAAATCTCATTAATCCATTAATGTAGTCTAACATTAGAGGATAGTGACAATTTACGAGACACGTGACTGTTTAAACTCTATCTAATTAGTAACAGTAATTTTCCAGTTGTCATTTCCACTTTGTTAGTGTTTAATATGCTTTAAGCATTCCATATCAACGTTATTTAATGATGGTTTAATTAATTCACACCAATGATGTAGATGATATGTGACCTTCTTCTAATCCTTTTGTCGGATCCATTTGAGGAAAGAACCAACAAGTTGTGTGTACTTTCACTTACTTGAAGTTATGGATAATTCATTCACAGTTGTTTGGAAATGGGTGACATTTCGTTCAAGGATGTCAGAAAGAATCATTGGAATGTATCAAGTAAAACAATAAAAAACTAAGGCAGTTTAACTAGATAATTTTAAATAGCCATCATCTGAAATTATTGCCATTTGATTGTGTAACGTATTTATTGCTATAATGAGTAGAATTGATCCTTATAAGTACATTAACAAATAACCTAGGACTAGAATTGACCCTTAAGTATATTAGCAACCAACCTAGGACTAGAATTGACCCTTAAGTACATTAACAACTAACCTAGGACTAGAATTGACCCTTAAGTACATTAACAACTAACCTAGGACTAGAACTGACCCTTAAGTACATTAACAACTAACCTAGGACTAGAATTGACCTTTAAGTACATTAACAAATAACCTAGGACTAGAACTGACCCTTAAGTATATTAACAACTAACCCAGGACTAGAATTGACCTTTAAGTACATTAACAATTAACCTAGGACTAGAATTGACCCTTAAGTACATTAACAACTAACCTAGGACTAGAATTGACCTTTAAGTACATTAACAATTAACCTAGGACTAGAATTGACCTTTAAGTACATTAACAATTAACCTAGGACTAGAATTGACCTTTAAGTACATTAACAATTAACCTAGGACTAGAATTGACCTTTAAGTACATTAACAACTAACCTAGGACTAGAATTGACCTTTAAGTACGTTAACAACTAACCTAGGACTAGAATTTACCCTTAAGTACATTAACAACTAACCTAGGACTAGAATTGACCTTTAAGTACGTTAACAACTAACCCAGGACTAGAATTTACCCTTAAGTACATTAACAACTAACCTAGGACTAGAATAGACCCTTAAGTACATTAACAACTAACCCAGGACTAGAATTGACCTTTAAGTACATTAACAACTAACCCAGGACTAGAATTGACCTTTAAGTACATTAACAACTAACCCAGGACTAGAATTGACCTTTAAGTACATTAACAACTTACCTAGGACTAGAATTGACCTTTAAGTACATTAACAACTAACCTAGGACTAGAATTGACCTTTAAGTACATTAACAACTAACCTAGGACTAGAATAGACGTGCTAACAAGTAACTGAGAATTAAAATCAACTCTTTTTTGTCTTTTAAACACCTTAGAGTGAGTAAAAGTAACACCTAATTGGGAAAATAAATAGAACATAATATGTCATCCATCAAACATAAAACCACGCATTTTACGTGGTAGATAAGGCTACAAGAAGTTTTTTTCCTTAACCACTATTTTTATTACAACGGTTAATATAAGTGTCAAAAACGTAAAGATGTTTTATTTAGTATCAACGTAAACAGTAACCAAACAATGTGCATACTTTGTTAATTAAACGTGTCAATTATCCAGAGTCGACTGATAACATTACATCTACGACGGGTTCATTTTCTCTCTATCTTTTTTTCAAACATTTTAAAGAACTTATTATCGAAGATCCTAAATTAGGACGCTAACGAGCTCATAAACAAGGCAAAATCATAGCAGGAACGGTTTTTAGCTCACAGTGTAAGCGTAAAAACGTTAATAGAGTAACAACAAATATTTTAAATCTACAAAGTATATATATATGTATATATATTATTTCGATCATTGTTAATGTATCAAGCGTTTATATGCAAATAAAAGCCAGAACTATGCTTTTTATGATTAAATGAAGATATCGGCCGGGCCCTAGCAGTTGCCCCCCCCCCTTTCGGTAGGCCTGCCAATGAATAGTAGGATTGACCCCAAACTAGAGAAAGGACGAGCATGTTCAGTGACAGGGTTTGATCCCGCGACAGCTGACTGCTTCGCCTGTTAGGTTCTATGTGGAGATCGTACGTCTGGGCCCTGGTTGTTTACGACCATTATAAGTTGGTCTAACTTGCTTTTTTTTTCTTTTTTACATAACACCAGAAAATCTATTCAAGATTAAATTTGGGGAAGGGGGCAGATTTTTCTAAAGCGAAAAGACAATAATATGTGGCTTGTCATTGAATTGTGCAGTAGCTTTGCAGCACACATACTAAAAGTGTTAAAACTGGTATTTCATTGTTAGGATCTTGTAATCTTGAGGAGGAGGTAATTCATGTATAACATGGGAACAAAGGTCTGTTGGTCCTTCACACACACACACTCTTGAGAAAAGTAGAACACGACGAGGTGCCGTCAAACCAGTGTGAAGGCTAAATTCATCTTCACGGAAGAAGACCTCGAAACAGAAGTCAAAATTTTTTTTAAAAATCAAACATTTGTTTACGTCACGACAATTTATTGTTATGTACTTATCACCATGGTTTCAGTCCCTGGGCGTAACCTACTGATCTTTGACAGCAACATCACGTGACCGAAAACAGGTTTTATTACATTTTCGGTACATTATTTATATTTCTTTTTATTTGCCTAATTATTTATCCTTCAAAACTACAACTTAGAGTAGATTACCTAGACTCAAACCTGGCAGTGGGACTATCGTTTAACTCAATAATTCACCACGGACATGTTTTGTTAGTGTTTTTCTATTTTAAGGTGCGCATGGCAAGGGACTACATACATTGTGAAGAAGTTACTGCCACATGTTTTGTTAGGCTTATATAGACACGTGCCCGCAAGGCAAGGAAAGACTTTCTATATACATTAAGAAGTTACTGGTTTTATCTATTTATTTATTTTGAGCAAATGAATATCAAACATTCTAACGTATATTATGTAACTAGGAAGTGAGAGAAAGTACTGATAAACTTTGTAATGCGAAAAACGCACAGGACAAAAATCTGGGGAAAAACACGCACACGATACGCAATGCAGGTATAATCTTGTGACTGTGTATGAACGCATAACAGGTGATATGTGTACTTTGGTCGTTATTAGTTGCCGATTCTTTAGTAAATAGCGCTTAATGTTATATTTTCTAAGGGGGGTCTTTTTTTATTTTAAAGTAAGCTTTTCCTTTTACACAAAGAAAAAAAAACAGAATTTAGTGGATCTTTTTGACTTTTCAAAATATAGGGGTGGTCTTTGACTTTCAGCCCCCCACACTTTCCTGGCTACGCGTAGCGTTGTATACATTATTGTAATCTTACCTTTTTTTTACAAAAAGAAAAAGGATCCATTCATGATTCTCTGCTTTGATTAAGAACAACATTTCTTAAAGTTTTCGTTTAAACGATTCTCTACAGTGAATTAGTGATCGATGTGATAAAACCTTTATACATCTAGTTATGGTCACCATAACAACAACAGTTATTGTTGCTATAACTACATCATTATATTTACTGTTTTTACAGTAAACGAGCCAGTGGTTCACATGTGAACTGTGGTCTAAAGGTCGACGAATTGCGTCCGAGAAGAAAACGAACCGCGATTGGCACTTTGGGGTCGTGGTGCAGTAAGGGTGGCGGTTAAATATTTCTATTTGGTCAGATATGAGAAGCTCAAGAGTTGGCGGTGGGTGTTGTTGACTAGAGTCCATCCCTCTAGTTTTATCAATTCAAAATCAGAGACAGGCTAGCACAGAAAACCCTTGAATAATTTTGTGCGAATATCCGAAAACAAGCTATCTACCGTGATTTTTTGTTTTTGTACGTAGTTAAGCACACAAAGGGCTGTCTGTGCTCTGCCCACCACCATTTTAAGTCCGCAGAGTGCAATAACTTCTCACACACACCATGTTTGATTCGCAACTCATTGCTACAACAGAACTTGTTTGTAGAATTTTTTGTGCACAGCTCCTAGAGAGCTATTTGCGCTAGCCGTCTCTAATTTTCAATAGGTAGACTATAGGTTTGTTTGTTATGGATTTCGCGCAAAGCTAAACGAGGGCTATCTGCGCTAGCCGCCCCTAATTTAGCTGTATAAGACTAGAGGGAACGCAGGTAGTCATCACCACCCACCGCCAACTCTTGGGTTACTCTTTTACCAACGAATAGTGGGATTGACCGAACTTTATAACGCCCCCACGGCAAGCATATTTGGTGGGACGGGGATTTGAACCCGCAGTTTGCGAGTCGAGCGCCCTAACCACCTGGCTATACCGGGCCGATAGACTATAGGGAAGGCGCCCCACACTTTATGGCCGTGGATGCGTTATAAAAGTTACTGTCAAGTTCTATTCGATAAGAGAAGCTCGAGAACTAGTGGTGGATGCTGTTTATAGCTACCTTTCGTCTAGTGATTTAGTTCAATATAAGGGATGGCGAGATGAGATAGCTTTTGTGTAACCTTTGCGCAAATATATGAAACAAATACTTTTTACTCTACGCAACTACCATGACTAGAACGACAGCAGAAAAATACGGCTTTGAAATACGTGTTCTTTTGTCATCCTTTATATTTGTGCGCGCGCACCGAGCTCCATTAGCAGCAATTAGCGAAAATACTAGGCTCGGTATATATTTCATTGGCTTTACGGGAATTGTCAGTAATAAGGCAGTGGAAGTGGGGAGGGGAGAAATTAAAATGGCCGTCAAGCTCCTGTCAACATGGAAAATATATATATATATATAAAGTAAGTTTTTAAGCTCAAAGTAACACGATAGGCTGTGCCTACCACACGAGTATTGAAACCCGGATTTTAGCGTTATAAACCTTCACACGTAACGCTGAGCCATTGTGGGTGGGGGGGGGGTAAATTAGAAAATTGTATTGAAGTGTTCAAACATTCAGCCACAGCGTGATATTTGAATTCTAACTGCCTGTTTGTTTGATACAAGTGTTACTTCATCGACCCGATCGATCAGCTGGTGGTATACAGAATTTCTAGGATAGATCGACATACAGCTACACTGTACTGTTCTGTTTGTTTGTGTCTAAAATTAGACTGTTGCAACAGATCGTTCAGTGTTATATGGATGTAGTTTCCTTCTTACAAAATCAAAGAGAAATAACCTATTCACTACCACACAAAAAATTAGTGAATTTCATGCGTTGTTTTTTGAATTTATACATCTCATCTAAATGTGATGTTATTGAGAGAGTGAGAGAAAAAAATGACTTTTTAAATTTTACCCACTTTTTTTCTTCGAGATTTAGCCTAAGATTAAGAGTTTGATTTAATGACAATGCATATGCAGTGAAGACTTTTTAAGTAAAAAAAATTCCAGTCATGAAATATTTCTGAGGACTGAACAAAAAGAAAATCCGGAGGTCTTACGCTTGTGTCCCTAATAGTTATGAAAAACCTGAGAAATTAAACTAAGTACAGAATATCAAAAATCTACGAATTTTAACGTTTAATATTTACAAAATAATTTAAAAAACAATTAGAGACAACACAGTAAACTAATTTACAGTTGTAGGACTTCACTGTATGAAATATGTACATATAACACACGTATCATACATTACAAGGACGCAGAAAATTGATGAAAATAAAAGATTTACTCTCAACAACTTTCCTGATGTATGAGATAAAAAAAAAATCAATTTTTAGTCCGATTTCTCGACAAGTACCAGACAGCTAAATAACAATAACAGTAGATTCTCCGAGGAAATATGAGTATTATTCTTGGTATATAACAGTCTTCTTGGTGTGTGTGTGAAATAAAGAGACTGAACACAGTTGACAAAAGTAAAACAAACAATCTTTATTATTTAACAGACACAAAAAATAAACACACTGAATGTACTTGCGTATACGAAAATAACAGTTGCTTCTAATACGTTGTGATTAGTTCCACGGCTTTTTTTCCCCCAGAATTAATCTCCGTAGAACTAAACACAACGATCTTAAAAGATAACCTTCTTTCGGCAATCTCGTAGTAGAACTGACCAAAGAAATTGTGGCTGAGTCCAACAGATAATCTCGCTTTTGTTGTTCAGTCGACAAGGTTCTCTTTTTGTCCTTTCACGGCGTTAGTCGGCTGTAATAGTCAGTCAACATCATAATCTACCAGTAAAGGATATTCCAGTACCAATTCTGCTAACGTGGAAGCTATACATATTACTGTAATAATGGTTGGAGACAGCTTGAATGGGTAACGAAGAAAAACTTTAATATAAGTTTAACATAACAGTAAAATGTACAACGTTTCGACAAGGTTTTGTCATCATCAGGTACCCTGTCGAAACGTTGTACATTTGCTGTTTTGTTAAACTTATATTAAAGTTTTTATTCATTACCCATTCAAGCCGTCTCCAAGTATTATTAGTCTCAAAGTGGATTCCTCGTCATCGAATATTACTGTAATATCCTTTCGGTCAGAAGAGACGTCACATACTATAGAGAACAAAGAAACGAAACAACTAGAACAAGGTAATTTTAACGACTTTCTGAACCACGTATTGCCGCCATTACAGCGTAGAAACTAAATAATAAACATTTCGAAATTTGCTATATCACTAAAAGGAGTAGAAAACACATGATATGCCTGCATATAAAAACAGAGATTTTCTCGCATTTCTTAACGACTCTTTAAGCCAGTGTTTATTCACCTACATAATTATCCTATTTTTCATTATACATTACTTCTGTACTACTTGGATATTTTAAATTTAACTAAAATAAACTGGTCTTTCATAGTTTTTACCATTCGTGCAACAAGGTCATATTTTTAAATAATCAGTATTCAATATCAACAATCGGATTAATATTCGTATTATTTTATTATCAAGTATAATAAATATATCATTAAAGGTTGTTACCTTCTGAAAACGAAGGTAAAAAAAATCACTATTTTACATAAAATATCAACTTTTATGATATTCAGTTAGACTGAATTATGCTTTAAAGTCGAGCTTATTCACAGTTCTTTAAGCAAACAATGTAATAAATTTGAAAGGCGAATTTATGTCATTTTGTTTGCTTTAATATGCATTTTGAAACTTATTGAATTAAGTGTTTCAGCAGACTATTTCATATTCAAACATAGTTTTAGTTTTCAGTCAGTTTTTGAGAGATTGGCCTAATCTTTTTCATCATTCTGGTGTATTATCTTCAAGCTTTTAATCCAAAGTATTCTCAGAAGATTTTATGAATAGTCGGGCCATGTATTCATGCTCTTGTTAAAACTTGTGAAGGACATACGCATTTTGAGGTGAGCAGTTGCATCGTTTTGATGATACTGTGAAATAAAACGATATATGTATGCGTCTTAAATGTACTTACAAAACGTTTCACAACAATGAAGTTTATAAAAAACAGGCACACATTTGTTGTTATGGCTGAATTTTCCTGGCACGCTTCCAGGAAGCAATGAAACCTTGAAAAATATTTTTAAAAATACAACTTTCACAATAAGTACACAAGTCACTGCAAAGGATCTTTTCTTTCAAAATATGATCAATTTAAAACACAGGTCTTTGAAGGAACGCTTTTTATCGGTAAGACTATCAGACATCCCATCGTTCTCTCTAGCCCTTCAGAGAACAGCCTTGATAAGAGTTGATTCCATGGGTCATTGCAATATCCTGATTCTAAAAGTCAGTTCCGCAAATATAGGCAAAGAAGCTTTCGGTGGTAACGGAAGGTGCCGGCCATTTTGGATTCTTACTGCTAACTTGCATGTGGGAATAACCAACAAAAATCACTGGAAAGTATCAGGAATTGGACCTCGATATTGAATTTCAAAAAGTCTTCAGTTTCTCAGAAGAGGAAAGGGCGGAGGTAAGCCCTCCTCTCAAACTCTCCAATATTCGTTCATTTAGACTCCCCCTTTTGAAAATTCTGGATTCGCCCCCGGTGTGTGTGTGTGTGTGTGTGTGTGTATTTACGCTTTTACAAACAGGTACATCTTGAAAAGAAAATCATGGTCTTGTCGTTATGTTAATTGTAAAATATTATTTAAGTGATATTACAGTGTTAAGAAGTTATTAAGAAAAACACTGCTACATTTCTTTCCAAAATATCATTTTAGACATCTTACAATTATTGTAACCTGTACATACTTACATAGTATATAGTAAAATAAAAATAGAAATAATGTAAAATCAGCATTTTTTCATCTCATACTTCAAAATAACACCTTTCACATAAAAACAATTCTTCATTCACACAAATAAATATGATAAACATGTAATTTGATCAAAACTTAATGCAACTGTGTATTCAAATTGTAAATTTTAACTGTCAACTCAAGCCGGATTCTTGCGTTTTCTTCCACCTTTTATGGTTAACCTCCATAAAGTTCCAAATCAGCTATGTAGTTGCGTGTTTCAAAAGTCTGAACTGATCGTAAAGCCGTTTACGTATGAATTCGTAAAATTCATATTCCATTGTAAGATTTTTTTTCAGGATTTTCTTGATTTCTTCGGATACTTTCTTTTTCCTAAAATTCTTGTTCTGTACTTTTGCTGTGGGTTAAAATATATTATTACGCAAATATTTCAATCGCCTATCTGTGTAAAAAGTAAGCTGGTAGAACACTTCAATAAAATCAAACCCAACAAGTTCTGCGTATTACTGTGCTTATATTTAAGAATGAAAATAGTAACTTACGGTGATAATTCACGACTTACAAAAAAATAAATAATTCAGAAAGAAACGATTTAAAATTACAGAAATATTGTTTTTTAATTTTTTACAGCTCCATGGAAATATATACAACTACTTTAGGTAAGGAAAATTAGGCCTAGTATTATTTTGCCATCGTCTCCGTTATCAAACTAACGAACCATTCAAATTCAATGATTGATGATGACAAAAACCTTGTCGAAACGTTGTACATTTGCTGTTATGTTAAACTTATATTAAAGTTTTTATTCATTGCCCATTCAAGCCGTCTCCAAGCATTATCAACGAACCATTCGTTCGTTTAAGTCTTGCGCAATTTAATTTGTAATTAATCGAATTTATTCGCAACCGGGGCATTTCAGCCTCTTACATAATTACTTTTGGGCTCAAGATTTTAATGCAATGTATGTTCGTTACATGTAACAACTTACTAACTGCATATGTATATTTATTTATTATATTTCTTGAAATAAAAAACTATCGACAAAAAAAAAAGAAATTTATGACAGAGAATGAAGTAATGTGTAATAAATCACTTACGTTTTATGCTGTATAATTTAGAAGCGCCTTTGAAAAACTGTGGAATATAGCCTTCCAGCACTGCCAACGTTTTGTTCAGTTCTTCTAAAACTCCAACCACAACGTAATATTTCTTGACATTTGTTTTAGCGATTTGTAATGCTGCCTTGTTGTTCAAACTCCTGAAATTGAAATAATTATATACATATATATATAGTAAGCTCTTAGTACGTTGCTACAATACACAATAGGAAATAAAATGATAAAACCCGTATAACCTGTTTTTGTTTCCATTTTATAAAAGGCTTCTTGAACCTACGTTTTATTGACATTACGACAACAGGTATATTTACAAACCTCCAATAAGTTGCAGAACTTTTATTTTCAGAAGAGCTTCTGCTTTTGAAATATTATCAAAATATTTTTTAAAATACATGAATCTAACTAAATTCGTTTGAAATTTGTTTTTTTTTAAAGTGATTTCTTTCAAATCATGGTGAAAAATGATACTATGATGTCTTCCCGTCATTCACCAAACTTTCTAAGCCAGTTCTTCTACTTTAAAATATGATAATTAGGTTTACTTGAGGATGGGAAATGAGTCATTTAGACAATCAACATTTTTCCTTTCTCCAGCATTACTATTTTTTTCGCAAAGGGAACAAAACTCTCATATTTCGAAGTTATAAATCATCTATGATAATCCATATGATGTTACTAGAGATGTCACAAAAAATTAAAATCTCAGATTCGGTGATAGTTTCGAAAACAGGTTCAAAAATGTTCTTTAAAAATACTTAGATAAGATAATTCTACTTACATACATTCCTCCTTATGGCCACAGAAGTAAGGAATGGCAAGGTCATAAGACTGACCAGTGATGAACAAACATTCAGGATCCCCTGTACGGACGCACTGTTCGAAATCCTTCATCAAATTGAACAAGCAAAAAGTAATTTGTCGTGTGGATTCAAGGATGAAATTGCTACTTCAATTGTAAATGTAATTAAACATTGAGTAATAGCATCAAATTGAGCATCCAATTGAACAAACAAAAAGTAATTTGTCGTGTGGATTAAAAGATAAAATTGCTACTTTAATTGTAAATGTAATTAAACATTGAGTAATAGCATCAAATTGAGCATCCAATTGAACAAACAAAAAGTAATTTGTCGTGTGGATTAAAAGATAAAATTGCTACTTTAATTGTAAATGTAATTAAACATTGAGTAATAGCATCAAATTGAGCATCAAACTGAACAAACAAAAATTAATTTGTCGTGTGGATTCAAGGATGAAATTGCTACTTCAATTGTAAATGTAATTAAACATTGAGTAATGGCCTTGTCTCTCGGCGAAACAAACATCTCCCCCTCCCCCATTTTCTGCTTAATAGCGACATCGGTTTGTTGAAGTTCGAATTGTGTTGTTACTAACATTCATGTTGTCTTTTATTTCTTACAAAAATATTCTCAACAGTTAAAGATGTTTAACAGAAAATCGAGTCGTTTTTACATTTTCGAGGAAATGTTGCGATACAAGTTAGGCCTTCATTTGAATACATAACGAACATCCACTAAACTACCAACAATATTCTTTAATTATGGAGTTTCACCACGTACCGACGGTTTCAAGCATCAATTATGTAACAGCATTGAGACCTACCCTTTCCTGTTATATTCATTTGTGAATCACACAGTGCACTGCTATGTATGGTCTGTAAAGCCAACAATCAGCCAGTTCAAGTCAAGAAGTCACGATGAATGGAGATCACGGGGCCTTCAAAGGAAAATGTTTACTGGTTGCAGCATTGATGATACGAGAATCTAAAGCATTTCGGCTCACTTATACTCAAACTCGCTATAGGTTATTACACCGAAGAAAAGGTTTGAACGTATGTTGAATTTCACGCAAGACCACTCGAGGGCTGTCTGCGCTAGCCTTCCCTAACTTTGAAGTGATATACAAGATAGAAGACAGATGGTCAACAACACCAACCCCTAACTCTTGGGCTTCTCTTTAGCAATAAACAATTGCATTGACCATGACATTATAACGCCCCACGGCTGAAAGGGGACGAGCATGTTCGGTGACGAGTTTCGATCCCACAACCTGCAGATTGCGAGTTGACCACCCTAACCACCAGGCCACGCTAGGCCCTGAAGAAAATGAAGGCCAGCTAATTCAAAATATTGGCCCGAATCTTCAAATTAACCATCTTTTGTTCATGCACGGCTTACCTGGTTCTGAATTCATCCCTTAAAACAGACTTTTTCAACCGTTCTAGTAACACGGCCCACCTAAACTTCAAGAAATTTCCCCCGGCCCAACGCAGAAAATTCTAGAAGTACAAAAAATATGGCAATGTTATTTTTTAGTTGCTATGCTGAGTTCATGCGCCTGACATTAACTTACAGTTAGCATTTTGCGAGTTATTACGTAGTTTACATTATATACTTTTACTGTTTTGCAACATTTAAAAAAATATAGTCATCTAATCCAAGTCTTTTCGCAGCCCGCCGGTTCAAAAACACCGATTTAAAAGTTATTAGATATTCATTACATGTATGGAGCTCTTTACTTATTAGTCTTATAGACGAATTTTAGCTCATAAGTCTGTTTATCATAGCCTACAGCTATATATGGCTTGATCAGACAACAAAATTTGTGATGACGCATTTTCAGCCTGTAACAGAAATGTACAACGGAAGAGACAATCGAATACCTCCAGTTAGATTATGCTTTAAAGAGACTAAAGGTTAAATTTTCAAGTATTTAATTATGACACTCATACTTACAGTAAAGATATAAAAGGAATACGATTGGTGTATAGCAATACTAACTAACCCAGTATTTTATATTGCAAGATATATATATAGTAGGCAAACATACTGTATTTAAAAATTAAATTCTAGGAATAAATATATTTACCAAATAAAATATGTGATCAATGATGACACAAATGTACGAGTATGTATCATACAATGACGCTCCTTTCCAGTTGTGTTATTTTTGTTCTTAATAAATCTTTAATTTAATTCACAATACAAATTAATTGTAGGACTCGTCAGTGGTTTTGCTAAAACTGGCTATTCTTATGTTTCTCTTAGAATGAGTGTGTGTGTGTGTATGATTTTAAAATTTAGCCACATATATAATGTACTTGCAATGCCGAGAATATCTGCCCCCCGAGTGACCCCATTTATGGTCACTTTCTAAGAACACCGTATTTTTAGTACATAGCAGTGAAGTTTGCTGTATATATAATATAATAATGTTAATAATAATACAATAATCCCTGTAGACTCCCA